TATAGTTAACTTCAAAAATGTTATAAATTAATAGTTACAGATAAAATTTGACTAAGTTAAGTTAAAAGTTAAGAGTCAAAAATGTAATTAAGTAATTAGTTAAGTTAAAATTATTTAACTTTTTTAACTTTTTCACTAGGTACTACCCAACCCTGATAATTGTCAAGATATATCAATATCTCACCATTGCAAGCAACTCCTGATTCGAATCTATCTCATAACTAAGCTTTTGCGCGAATATCAACGCCATCGATATAGTGATGGTATATGAAACCATGGTTATTGCAATACTGTCAACCATTACTAGGGGTAATAGTTCGAAACTTGGCACTTCCGGCTTGGGTAATCTATTTAAAAGCACATAATTATAATATTTTAATTATATCTAAATTTTTAAAATAGACACTACAGTTGCGAATGTTAAGAGGTAAAACTTCATTTACGTACCCCGTAGGAATGTGTCCCACGGTTTCAATATCATAAATCTTTGGTAAGTCACAATATCGAGAGACCAATGTCCCACTAACCACTGCAATAAGTTCAATGGGTATTGGTATGCTGCATTTTTTGCTCATTCTTGGCTAATGGGATATAAATCATGTCATATTTTTCAGCTTTTACAAACGTTCAATTAAAGCATTAAGTTAATTACGTTATTTACCTTCAGAAATTCATTGTTAAAAACAAGAATAATAATTGATACAGCTGATACAATTGCAGCGGCTACATTGGTATTTTTTATTTCTTTAAATACATCTATAACAGTCTGAGAAGGAAAAGAATAATCTCTGCTCTTATGTTAATTCATAATTCAATAAAAAGTGTAAGTACAGCAGCGAGCGAAAAAAAATGCGCGAGTTTTATTTTGTTTACATAATTATTATCCTCATCGGTTTAACGGTATAATAGACTTTATACGTATATACATTATTATGATGCATAGTATTATATTGGAAATATTTTAAAACAATTTTCATGATATGAAATTAGATCGACATATAGATATCTATGAGAGAAAATATTTTCTCATTAAGTAAGTTGATAATTTTTCACTTTGTAATGGACAAATTGATAGTATGTCGCATAGGTGTAACTAGAGATGTAAAAAAAACATTTTTTTTTCTAATAGAAAAAAACATTAGAAAAAACCGTGTTTTATTTCATTGAAAAAATACAAATTTAGTTTTTTTTTCTAATTCCAATAGCACAACTAATTAATTGTAAATAGTAATTATATAATTATATAATTAAGTTTAATGTGATCTAACTTTTACAAAAGGAGAATCGTTTTAATTCTTTTTCTAAACAGCTTTTCCTTAAGTAGAATTTATTATAATT